AACTCTCTTCAGCTGACGGTCAAATCAGACGCTTTCTCTCAGTTGCTCGAACGAACGATCGATTCATATCCGATTTTTCATTAAACAGGACTGTCTTTTTTTCGTGTATCTACTGTTAGATTTTCTAAAACAAGTTTATCAATATTCTTCACACGGTCATGCACTCCACACAATGACGTTTTTGCGAAATAACAAAACGTCAGTACGTTTGTACGTACGGTCGTTCGAGGGCGCTTGCTATCTGTTGTGTACGATACTACGTAGGTATATGCATATGTAAATAAATATGTCTACATATATATTTAGTGGCAAATATCTCGACGTACGTTAATAATTATAGTTCAATTCACCTTGAGATTAATTCCGATTAATTTTTCAAACAATTTCAATCGATCGTAAATTTAGCTCTTATTAGCGTCTTCCTCGATCTTTGTCTTCTCCTTCCACTCTACAACTTTCTTAGTCTCTGCTTCCTGTTGGAAAGTGTTTAATTCGTTTTGTGTCACTGCAATTTGTACTATATTGCAGGTTATAGCTTGCGTGGTTATGCACATATATGTGTGTGTGAACTACAAATAGTATTGCGTACTGTGTAAAAAAAGAAAATAGAAAATAGAAAGACACGAAGCAGTAAAATATATTTTTGCTAATTTCATCATACGAGGTATCTATATAACGTGGATAACAACGTAAAAGAAATGGAAATAAATAACGAGGTAAAATTTTAATATATCTTTGATATCTAATATTGAATCTATATGATATAATATCTAATATTATATCTAAGAAAACAATTACTTTCTATGTAATATTCTACATACTTTCCATGCGATAGTTTCATTGTTAATTTACTGTCGTAAACGTTGATTTACTGTTAATCTTTCAGATTGTTCTATTGAGACAATTCGTTCGTCAGGCTCGCATTTGCATGATAAATAAATTGATCAGAGAGGCGAAAAGGTTACGCGCTAGCAATGGTAATGAAAAACTGTTGGAAAGAAATAAAAGTAAAGCGGATAAGCTGTTGAGGGAGGTATTTGCATTGAAACGTATCAAAGACGATGAGATATCAAAATTCGGAATTACCAAGTTTAAACACCTGCAAGATATATTGCAAAAGCCACAGGTTGACGACAAAATTCGTGCCATGGCAAAAGTTGTTCGTTACAAATCTTTAAGTTTGAAGATAATGGAATTTCAGGAGAAGTTTCCAGATTGTGATAAACATATTTCTTGGAGAAAGACGAAGAACTCGACGAAAAAGAAAGGAGACTGCATTACAGATTTCCAAGTGAAACGTTCAAAACGATTACGAAACGATATCAACAACTCTGTAGAGAAAGTCCATGGAGAGAATGCAAAAATTATCAATGACGACGCTACACCTGCTGGTCATGTAGCTTGTCAAAAAGAAAAAAATGTTGGTAGCAAGTGTGAAAAACTGTTGAAAGAAACAAAATTCAACACAAAAGCCAAAGACGATGAAGGAAACTCGATGAAAATACTCGACATTCAAGATGTAAAGACAGACTCTAAGAATGACCAAAGTTCTAAGATTATTACCAAAGTCATTAGTAAGGAGGCCACTGTTAAACGATTCACAGAGGTTTTGCAAGAAACGGACAAGGAACAAAATGACATATATAAAGCAAGTGTGAACAATGAACAACAATCTTGCGACGAAACAACCAAATCATCAGGAAACAGAAACGATTTTTTTTTGCGTACAAATGAAGTAACTTTGCGTTCAAGCGACACGCTATTTTCCAAAGAGAAAAACATTGGTAGTCAATGTAATATTAATCACAATGTATTTAAATCCCGTCAGATTAAAAAGAAAAAAGATAAATTATGCAATGAAAGGATATATAAAGAGAAAAGGAACAACAGAAAAGGAGAAATGAATTTTGCAAACGTATTTTATGATGGAAATGATAGGAGAGAAACCTGGAAAGAAAATAGGAAAGGTACACGAGTTGAGAAAAAGGAAAAAATTAATAGCACAAGTTCTGCAGAGTATGAAAATCTGCATCCTTCTTGGGTTGCAAGAAAGAAGCAACAAGATATTATGAAACAGGGATTTCAAGGAAAAAAAATTAAATTCGATGAAAATTGAACAAGCACTATCTCTTAAATGTATTTCTACAAATGTAAATTTTCAAACTGAAGGAACTATATTGTGTCAATTTTAATAAACAAGAGTTTATATATATATATATATATATATATATATAT